TTTCCTCCGTCACTGAAGCAAGCAAGCCTCATGTTAGTTTCAAGCTGCCTAGCTGCCGGCCGCCATCTTGGCTGGCAGTTAATTTGCATATCGCCCTGATTAGCCAATGGGAAGGGTAGCGGATGTATGCTAATTACCATGTTTCTCTTTTATTAGATAGGATTAGAATTTACTAGGGGCCCAGTGCACGAAATTTTTGCACAAGGAGGGGGGTTGTCCCTCAGCCTGGTCTGCACCCACCTGCACCCTCTTGCAGGCTGGGAGCCCTCGAGGGATGTCTGACTGATGGCTTAGGCCTGCTCCAGGCAGCAGTCGGACATCCTTAGCAGTGCCACAGAGGCGGGAGAGGCTCCTGCCACCGCCACTGGGCTTGTCAGCCATGAGCCTGGCTCAGTGTTTCTGGCTGAGTGGTGCTCCCCTGTGGGAGCGCACTGACTGCCAGGGGGCAGCTCCTGCATTGAGCATCTGCCCCTGGTGGTCAACGTGCATCCACCGTTCGGTCTATTTGTATATTAGCTTTTTATTATATAGGATAGTTTACTTTCTTTTTTTAATCCTCACCTGAGGATATTTTTTCCATGGATTTTTAGAAAGAGTGAAAGGGAGGGAGACAGAAACATCAATGTGAGAGACACATTGACTGGTTGTCTCCCGCATGTGCCCAGATGAGGGGAGGGAGGTGATCAAACCTGCACCTGAGGTATGTGCCCTTGACTGGAATCAAACCTGGGACCCTTCAGTCCATGGGCTGACGCTCCACCCACTGAGCAAAACTGGCTAGGGCTATAGTTTATTTTTACATTTACTCACAACTCTGTAAAGTAGGCAGGACATGACAAGTATCACCACATAAATTTTTTCAAGACTAAAAGAAGGTACAGTTGACCCTTCAATAATGTGAGATCACTTACACTTAGATTTTTAAAAATGTAAGTATATAAATTTTTAAAAATCATGTGTAAGTGATTCAGTTCAAACTTGCATTTTTTAAGGGTTGTTTCTTCACTTATCTATAAAATTTCCCTAAATGAATATAAATATTTGCATTTACCTTCGAAATTCTCTATAATGAAGTTTTCTTTCTCCTCTTTTTCCAAAGAAACGTATCTGAAGGGTTGTGTTAATTTCAGGTTCTTTCACTTTTGGTTCCTATAAAAATGTTACAGTAATTTCAAATATTATAACCAAAATAGATCCTATAGCCTGGAACTCTCAGCACAATATCCACAAAAGACTCTTGTACCACCACCACCACCACCACCAACAACAAAGGTGGAAAAGAGAAAGGCCATTTTGTCTATGGGCTGGTATAATAATAATAATAATAATAATCATCATCATCATCATCATCATCTATAATCATCTTTGCTCAGGAAAGAAAAACATAGCCTACAATACTCAAAATACTTAAGGTGGACTTCAGCAGTAAACAAAATTTTAGAAATGTTCATACCTTTTGACCCAGCAATTGAGTTTCTGAGAAGTTGTCCCTAAGATATATTCATATACGTATAAAATGATATAATTACAGACTTATTAACTGTAGCATTATTTGTAATATCAAAAGACTGGATATATTTAAACATCTTTCAAAAGGGAAATGATTACATGAATTGGTACATCAAAGTACTATGGAGCCATAAAAAAGAATGAGATACTCCGCTATTTTTAAAAAATATTATATCTTTATTGTTGAAAGTATTAAATACGTCCTGCTTCGCTCCCCCCCACCCCCCCCGTGTTCAGCTATATTGAGGAAAAAATGGGAGAGTGGGAAACAATGTATATAGTACTAGAGCAGTGATGGAGAACCTATAACACGCGTGTCAGAGGTGACACACGAACTCATTTTCTTGGTTGACTTTTCTTTGTTAAATAGCATTTAAATATATAAAATAAATTTCAAAAATATTAATATTTGCTCCGACCGATTTGGCTCAGTGGATGGAGTGTTAGCCTGCGGACTGAAAGGTCCTGGGTTTGATTCTGGTCAAGGGCATGTCTCTTGGTTGTGGGTACATCTCCAGTAGGAGGTGTGTAGGAG